GGAAGTGTCCCTCCCTACCGCAGCTGAAACATGTTTTTCTCCCTCCCAGAGTAAGTCTTTCTTTCCCCACTTGGGGCCGAATGGCAGCAGCTAACACTTGGCCCTGGATGAAGTTCCCATCAATGTCCCTACAGATCCGGATATAGTCATTTAGACTTTTATTACGATATGGGCGAAGGGCTTCCTTACAATACTTATTTGTGTTTTCAAATGCCATCTGCTTGATGACCGGCATCGCAGGCCCAATGCCCCCAAATATTCTTTCTGCTACCTGACTGAGACGGTCTACGAAGTCTTGAAAAGGTTCAGAGGGTCCTTGAAGGACTTTGGACAGATGATCCCCTCCTTCCTTGGAAGGCAATGCTTTCCAAGCCCCTTGGGCCGCTGCTGCCACTTGGGCATAGACTGCGATGTCATATTGCATTTGTTGCTGAATGGTGGCATATTGACCACTCCCGGTAAGCATCTCCACATTTCTCTGGGGCTGTCCGGCCTGTGCATTTCTTTGGTCTGTCTGGCTGCATCTTTCCTGAAACTCACCTCTCCAAATCAAATAATCTCCCCCCGACAGAACTGCTCTGCAAAGCTGCTGCCAATCGCCAGGTGTCAAATTAAGAGATGCAAAAGATTCCATTAAGGAAAGTGTAAAGGGAGCCTGTGCTCCATAATTTAAAGTTGCCTCTTTAAGTTGTCTTATATCCTTAAATTTTAAAGGGTTATGATGCCGAATGACCTGTCCAGAATTGTTCGGGTCTGGAACTTCCATTACTGGGGCCACCACCGGGCAGCATTGGACCCCTCCTCTGGGTCTTCCCTCCAGGTCCGAGAAGGACTGAGTTATCTCATAGGAGGAGTCCCTTTTTTCAGAGTATGGGGAAGGGTTTCTCTCCCTGTCCTGTTTTTCCTTAAATCGAATCTTTTTTAGTTCTTTTTTAAGGGCCGCGATCTCAGCAAGTAACTGTTCCTTTTCAGACTGTGACGAGTCTGAGTCTGAGCTACTTCCATTTTCTAGGTCTGATAGAGAAGGATATAACCGATTCTGACCGGAGTTCTTCTGTTTGGGTCGCGCCCGGAGATCTCTACCCATTTTTTTGTTGTTACTAAGAGACTCCCCCTCCTCCTCACTAACAATGGAGCCTCTAGTTTCAGTCAGGGTCCCTTCAGATGATTCATCATCACTCTGCCCCTGAACTCAAGGAGGCTTGAGTCTCAGTCTCTTGTAATTCTAAAAAAGCCTCTTTTGTGTCCTGAACTACCTGGCGGTGACGAACCTTATCTGTCAAAAGTGCTCCCCTCACTAATCTCCATAAGGAGAATGTCGTAGGGGGTAAGGACTCAGATCCCTCTTTTCGTAAAAGTCTATGAAGATCACGGCGAACCTCCTCCCAATCTGGAATATTTAAGTTTCCCCCAGTAATGAACCATGGACTGGCTCGTTCAATCGATTTTAGAAAGCCTTCTAGGGTTTTAGACTTGACTGCAGTCCCATGTTCTTTAAGTAACTTTTTTAGTTGACACTGCAATGATTCTAGCTTCCCGGAACTATTCCCCATAGTTTCTTAACCCCGTCCACTTACCTCGCTTTCACGATCTCGGTAGGACCTCCAATTGTCGCACCTGCTGTGAGGCCTGCATCCGAGAATGTAGCGAGGTGGTCGGGATAGATGACACAGAGACCGGTCGGTTGCTTTAAGAAAACTTTATGCTTCCCAAGTCAGCTTAGGAGGAGACCCCAGTCCGCTTAGGAGAGCTCTCAGGAGAAGTCTCCTAAGAAAAAGGAGCTTCCCTTTTTAAGGACTTCTGCCATTCATCTACATACCATTCTTTCCTCCTGGCTGGTGGTTTAATCTCTGGCCCCAGAATCGGGGAGACACCACAGGGAAACAGGAAGAGGCATCTAGCCGTAGGGGGTGTGAAAGGCATGGTATTTCAGTGAGCAAGCCCTTATCTGAGCCCTATCAAGAGCTTTAAAGCACTGAATTGTTTTCAGTAAACATTAACAGATGCCTGCTCCCAGGCCGAAGGGGAAGTGGATTTCTGCTCAAGGTCTGGTGTCCCCACACCTCAGGGCCTTCCTACTCCTTTCTAAAATGCTCTGATTATTAACCCTTTGCAAAAACTTAATCTAACTGCTTCTTCCATGTTGTTCTTGGACAACTAGATTTGTCTTAAATTAGGCATTTTTGTCATTAAAGGGAAATTTTGTTTTGGGGGCTGGAGGGATGGCTCAGTGGTTAAGAGAGCTTGATGCTCTATCTATTATGAGGACCAGAGTTTGGATTCAGCACCCATGTCAAGCTGCTCAAAAATGCCTGTAACTCCAGCTCCAGCAGATCCTATACAACTGCTAGCCTCAGTGACCACACACACAAACATACACACAAACCTTTTTAAAGTTTTATTTCTGTCTTTATAGTTTTCCCTTATATTCTCTGCGTTTAGAGAGGGTTCTTACAATGGCTTTCCTGATCTCTTCACCCACTGAAATGACTGAATAGCATAGTTCTTTCAGAGAGTATGGTCTTTAAGTAAAAACAAAGTGAGCAAAATACCATAGCAATATGAAAGAGCAAAATATAATTAATATTGTGACAGCATGTACTTTTATGTATAAATAATATAAATGCCTGCATACTGTAAAAACATAATGAAAGAGGAGGAAGGATGTAAATTCAGTGGTAGAACACTTGACTAACATAAGTGAGGTCCTGGGTTCAATCCCCAGCATCTCTTCCTGCCCTAACCCAACCCCACAATACCAAAACCCTAAAAACATTCAAGATGAAGTATCCAAGGTACTGATGAATACTGGGAGATCATATTTTTACAAATATGAAGAGAAAAGAGAAATTATTTCATTGAAGGAAAACACAGAATACCAGACAAATTGTACACTGTTGAAATGAAGAATAATTAGGAAGTCTGATATTTACATAAATTATTTACTCCTTGGTTTCCAATCTTGTCAAAGAATGTCCCTGTGCTAATTAGAATATAGGATGATAAGGACATAATGCAAACGTGTGCTGAGGCCTTAATAAGTGAAAGAACTTGGCACTCTGTATCCTGTTGGAGGTAATGAGAAGCGGAGAACATCCAAGCCCACAAGAACTTAGAGAAGTGGTCTGTGGGCTACTGCATGGAAGTTGAATGGTGAGTATGAGCATAATAGTAGGTAAGTGTGATGGTGTGAATAAAAATGGCCCCTTTAGGCTCATATATTTAAATGCTTAGTCACAAGGGAGTGGAACCATTTGAAAAGATTATAAGGATTAGGAGGTGTGGCCTTATTGGAGTGGGTGTGGCCTTGTTGGAGGAAGTGTGTCACTGGGGGTGGGCTTTGAAGAGGCCCAGTGGCTCTCTCTCTTCCTGCGGCCTGCTGGTCAGGATGTAGAACTCTCAGCTATTTTTTCCAGCACCATGTCTGCCTGCATGCCACCATGCTCCCAACCATAATGACAATGAACTAAGCCTCTGAAACTGTGAGCAAGTTCCCCGTTAAATGTTTTCTTTTGTAAGAGTTGCCTTGACCATCGTGTCTCTTCACAGCAATAAAACAGTGATTAGGACAATAAGTATATATTTAATATTTAACCTTCATGACTAGATTTCACATCGCTATATTTGAAAACTGCTACAATAATTAGCAAAATAAGGCTTGTAAATAGAATAAAATATTTTTAAACAATTTTTGTTAATAAAATATAGCAGATCCTTGAATTTTATATATCGTCACTAATATAGTAACATTTGGGACAAAAATTATCTGTTCTGTTTCATTTGTGTAATTTCCTTACTTGATTTTCCTGCTCAATGCTCTGAACCCCTCCCCACCTGTGTAGCTAAACATACGCTGATGAGTTATTTATGCTTCTTTTCAACGCAGTGGACGTGAACGTTCCATAGGAGGGTTCCATATGGAATCAAAATTATCTGTACTCTGACAATGTCTTGGTTATTTTCTTATTGCTGTGATAAATACCTAGCAAAACAAGCAAGTTAAGGAAGAAAGATTTACATTAGCTTTCCGTTCTGAGAAATTCAGCCCACCGCGACGGGGAAGACACAGAGGCACTCGGGAGGCAGAACAGCACAGCCTTCACATTCCCCCATGGACCGGGGTCACGCTGGCATAGGGACAGTTTGGATGGTGCAGCCCCCATCAGTAAGCAACCCCAAGAGAGTCAGACAACTGAGGACCCTAAGCATCTTGCAAGGGACTTGACAGCATATCCCTGTGCCTGTTGCAAACACATTGTGCGGGCATGCACAGTCCCTACGCCTGCAAGTGCCTTTTCCCTCTCCAGCTTCAACAGGACAGCATGAAAAGGTTATGGTGCAGGCTGATAGGTGGGGAGCTATCCTGGTCCTCAGCACTGATTCCGTTATCACCCACATTGTGATATTCACACCAACACAAGCACACAAACGCAGCTGCTACGAAACCAGAGTAAAACCACCCTAAACTGGGGTTCAATCCCGCAACCCTACAAGAAGACAAAAAACTTATCTGAAAATTTTCTATAATATCAACCGAAGTAAATGCCCTCATAAGATGGACACCAAATTACCTACCATCTCAAGTAACAATATTGATGTCAATCAAGAAACAGTATATAATCAGAAACTGGAGAGGGAGTTGATTAAAACCACAGATTTTGTCACATTTATATCGGCCAGCACCTTTAAACGTGTCTTTTGTTGGAATTTATGAACCCTGGCTTTCCCGACTCGTTTCTGGACAGTTATTTGGCGCTGTCTTTCTCTCAGCCCTTCCAAGCTGGCAGCTTCTTGCCCCCCAAAAGAGTGCCTAAAGAGGACAGGGACCTCCTCCGGGACCCCGCGGGGACACCCAGGCAACTCGTCCAGGCGCCTCCAGAGGGCGCCGGAGTGCATCATGAGGACGCAATGCGCATGTCCCACCCTCTCCGGCTGCCCTCCCTCCTTTGTTTCCGCCGGAAGCGTTCCCTGGCAGAGGCGGCCGGGAAACACAGGCGGGATTGGTTGCGTAAATACGTTTGAAAGGCCCTATCAGCGCGGCGGGCGGCCCGTTTGATCTGTGTGCCGGCTTGGACGGTTCCGGTTCCAGGCTGCAAGCGGCCTGCGCCATGGATCCGGAAGGCCAGTCGGATAACCGGCTGCTGCAGCACCTCAAGGAAAGCAGTAGCCGTTTCCAGACGCTCATGCAGCGGCTGATAGCGAAGGTGGGCCGGGCTGGCGGGCGCGGGAACAGCGGGCGGTGTGGACGGGGATCCAGCGCCCTGGGTTCAGACCCGCTGTCTTTCCCCGCAGTACGACCAGCCCTTTGAGGACGACCCGTTGGTGCAGATGTCCACGCTGACCTACGAGACGCCCCAGGGTACGGAACCTTCCTCCTCTTGGCGGTGTGCTAGAATGGCGGCGTCTAGAATTTGCAACGCAGCACTTGTCCCCCTCACCTTGCAACCGCGAGTTGCTGATTTCCAAGTCATTTCCCAAAAAGGAATGCCTGGAGACAGAGATGCAGCCTGAGTTTTTAAATGCCTGGCGCGGAAGCCCGATCTAATAGCTTAAAAGCAGCCCAGTGTCTCTGTAAAGTCAAAAGGATGTTGACAACCATGGGTACTGCGTATGGGTGTGTTAACAGTGCCTGCAAAGTCATTGGTGCCGCACCCAGGACTGCTCGGCTCTCATGAGTTGTGCTCTGTATCTCAGATCCATCTGTTGTAGACAGTCCATCTGTCTGCCTCTCTGGAACCATTTTTATTAAATGTTGCAGACCGCCTTATTAAACCTCTTGGATTTTTTAACTGGGGTGTGTTTGCATTTGATGAGGTTAGTTTCTTCCATAAGACTCATCATTTATTAGTAAAATCTGATTTCAGATCACAGTCTGCCAAGGGTCTATAGAGCCCACTCTTTGACAAGTGCAGTCTTTGCCCTTTGCCTTTTTGACTGTTCAAGGCACATGTTGGGTGAAAGTTTTACACAGAGACAAAATAATACTGCAACAGGTTGCTTTTGTTCTGGCTGGGATCTGGGCACATTAATACAGGGGTTCTTGAGGGTACTGGCTATCTATAGGCTTCTCTATGTTCTTGTGACTGTTCCTACAGGGGTGGCAGTGTCTGAGATGTTTTGAACAGCCTATCTATCTTGAATAACACTCATTTTTGTCGTTGAAAACCTGATGTCAATTATATTAGAACATCAGTCACGTATCTGAAGAGTTTGAGACCATTGCCAGTTGGTATACAGCGGCCCTCCCTGAGAACTGACCAGCACAGGGACTCCTAGGGCTGTAATTGTTAATAGCTCTGTCCCAGCAAGCTCGTGGCTTGTATTCATGCCATGAGTCCCAGTGTCCTGTTACTTAATCTGAGAGAGACCTTGACATGGCCTTTCCTAAGATGCTCCTGACCCTCCCTGTGCAATAGCATGAACTCCCGATCAAAGACAGTGATGGCGGCAGGGACGGAATCGTTTGCCTGTGTTGATGGTTCACCTGTGCCAGCTCTTATGACGTTGTAGAATTCAGTTTCAACCCTGCAGTGGAAGCCCCCTTTAAAAACCATTGCAGTTAAAGGTAGATTCCCACAGAGAGGGCCACTCAGGGCAGCAAAGCCTCAGTTTGACTCTTGAACCCATATACTCAAGCATCACTATCTTCTAGAAAGGCTGTGTGGTACAGTGATCAAATGCAGTCAGCATCTCCCAGAATTCACATGCTGGCTCGCTACTTGAGTGGAGAGCCTGGGCTAGTCATCTGAACTTCCTTTTCTTTTGCATGTCTGTCTACAGCAAACATGCTAAGTCTCTGTTCGTGGGCTTGTAGGTGGGTGTAGGAGTTACATGCAGATGGCTTGTGGGTACTAAATGGTTTCTCCTTGTTAAAATCTGGAGCATAGAGGGTACTGTGTAAATTTTTTTCTGCTTCTGTTATCATACAGTCATCTCAAATGGCAAAACCCACCATTCTTTCTCAGTAACTTTATTTTCCCAGGAGATTTAGAAGAAGTATATTGCACAGGTTCTGCTAGCTAGTGAGTGGCAGGGCTGGTGCACTTGAACTCCAGGGTTCTCTGTACCCAGGCATCTCTGTATTATGCCACTAGATTGCCCAAGGAAAGCCAGGGATGAAGTGCAAAAAATTGCCCTATAAAAAAATGCTTGCTCTAAGTCAGGCAGTGGTGGCACATGCCTTTAATCCCAATACTGGGGAGGCAGAGGCAGATTTATCTTTGTGAGTTCAAGGCCAACCTTGTCTACAGAGTAAGTTCCAGGACAACTAAGGCTAGACAAAGAAACCCTGTCTCAGGGAGGGGATAGGAATGCTTGCTCTGTAAATGTATATGTGCCCCTCTCCAGTCAATATGCATGTAGTATGTATTTAGAATATGATCTATCCTCAGCCCTTCAGGTTAGTGGTGAAATCAGATAAGCTGATGCCTTCTGAGTAGGAGAAATTGTCATTAATGATAGGTTGATCAAACACTGTCAAAATCTGGACTGCTTTTAATGGACAGCCTTTTGTGCCATTCAGCTTGGTTTTTTGTCAATGCATTTTGGACGGAAACTGAGCATTTCAGATTACTTCAGTTGTCATCTTCTTTTTTTTTTTTTTAAGGATTGAGAGTTTGGGGAGGAAAGCTGATAAAAGAAAGAAATGAGGCACAAACTCAGGTAATTATCGTCAAGTTTACCTTCTTAATGCTTTGCTTGAGTAAATCCCTGTGTGAATGAGCCTTGAGGCCACTGCTGAGAGCTGCAGGAGACCACCTCGGGATGTTTCACCTTCTGCCTTTTTTCCTGTTTTGAGACTCAGGGAGAGGTATTTTTTCCACTGCCCAGCTCTTGTGTGCTGAGTTTTCTCCATCATAGTCCATAGGGCCCTCATGTGTGCAGGTGTTGGACCTGCAGGCTGTGTACTAGGCCAGCTAGGGGCTTTGTTAGGTCCTTACAAAAAGGAGCAAATCTCATTTCCTTTGATTAAAAACAATGGCCCTTTCATCCTCTGAAACCAGGAAGCAAAAGAATGAGGAGGCAGTAGAGTGCAGAATCGCACACCCTTCTCCCTCTAGACTGAGGGTTTCCTGGTACCAGGGCTTTATAGCTAGTGATCAGGTACTGGTTTTCTGGATGACTTCCTTGGTTAGTTATTATAGCCATAGGAAGGCTAGAACACTTGGTTAGCTGACTGCTGTGCTTTGTAATCACTGATGCCATTTTAGTTCCGTCTGTAAACGCACCTCATACCCCTTTCCAGTTAATCAAGAAGGGAACCCTTATCTTCACCAGGTATTGTATAATGTAATTGCCTTTTCGGATTTTTTGAGACAGAGACTCATGCTTTAGTTCAAACTAACCTGGGACTTTGTGTGGCCCGGCTGGCCTCAGACTCACATCAGTCCTCCTTTGGCCTCCTGGAATGCTAGGATTACAGCCACGGTCCTTAGTTGGCTTTCTTTCTTTTTTCTTTTTTTTTTTTAACTGCTGACCGGTTACAAGGCATTTGGCCCTTGTACCTTCCTGTTCTGAATCAGGGTCTGCATGCTCTGTCTGTAAAGAAGTAAGTGCTTGAGGATGTGCCAGTCACGTGTTTGTTATTGTTATTCAACTCTGTCACGAGGGAACCACCAGGGGGTGAACACCCCTGATGTATTCCATGGCTTGCTTTATTAAGCCCATTGTGTGGCCCTCGAGGAGCAGCCTGTCCTTCCCCTTGTGTCATCCTCATTGGGAACCACAGGACGAGCTAGCTCTACATTACACATACAGCCATACACCTGTCAACCCAGTGCTAGAATGGCAATTCTGATAGCAAAAATATTTACTTAAGGTGTTCGTTTAAAATGTAGGCGACCCTCTGCCTGAGGTCTGTAAAACAGCTGGAGCTTTTCTTAGGAATCAAAAGTGGACATGCATAACCTGTAGTTACAACTGGGGACTTCCACAGTGTTACTGGGTTTATTATTGGTGGTCTCCCCCAATGACTAAGTGTTTATGCTGGTTCCAAGATTGCCCTCCCAAGGATGGTGGGAGACGGGAAGTTAAGATGGACTCCTCGTTGCCCAGCACTGGTTTGTCGTGGGCTCTCTTTGTAGGTGCCAAACAAGCAGTAGGGACTGAGGACTGGCTGCTTCCCTGAATGACAGAAGTTCTGCCCTTCAGACACTGGAAGCCATACACTAAGCTGAAAACTTTGAGGTCTTCTTACCTTGCAGTGATGTCTCTGGAGGCAGGAGTCACTTAGTTTGGTGGTGACTGGCCACCTCGGGTTCCCTAGGCCGATAGAGCTAGCACCTGAAGGACATCTGCTCACAGAGCTGGCTTCTGAAATCGTGTAAGCAGCCTTCTGTTGAGTGCTGGCACTTACTAATAAGCACTTGTTGGCGCCTTTCTCATGGAGCCTGCTGAACACAGGCCTTAGAGTGGAAGTGGCCTCCCCAGGGGAGTGACTGTTTGACCTTACTCAGTGACTCCACCCAGCAGGAACTGCAGGGGACACAGTGTGAGCATAGACACTACAATACTTGTAGATCCCAGGTCAGCCCTGTGGGTTCCTGACTTCTGCTGTAGTCTCTCCTTGACCAATGGAATTTTCTACTGTCTTCTGGGAGTCTTGAGGCCCTTCATTAAGCATGTAATTGCAAGGCTTTTATTTCCCTGGTGAATCCCAGGGAAATAAATGTGAATGTATCAATACATAGTAGCTAGAAATGTGTTGTGACTGAATCAAGCTTGTATTTCTTGATTTTATACTCCAAGGACCCTTCTGTGAAGATGATTACCAGACTAAATAGGCAAGCTCTAGATGGCAATGAGCGTTTACAGTCCTGCACACAAGCCCTGGGAGATGGTGAGTGTTTCCTTGTTAGAAAGGGAGGCTGGGGACAAGACCAGCTTGTCTCCACTACAGAAGTTTACAGATAAGGTATCTCACTATTAATGTTTTATGTAGATTTCTTGTCCTCCTAGGTCCCTGGAAGATGGGGACCCATGTCTTGCCCACTAATGTCAACATTTATTAGGTCTTAGGATTTGCTCTTAAGGATGATGGGAGTACCAGCTTCTATAGAAATGACCTCCCCCTTCCCCACCTCAACAGCCAGTGTCTGTCTTTCCTTCTTAACTTCCTTCCCTTCCACAAGGCTCCCAGGCTGTGCTCTTCCTGTCTCCTCAGCTCCCTCCTTTTAATCCCTTTGCAGCCAAATCACAGAAAGATGCCCCCATTTGGTACCTTGGGTTTCCCATTGCCTAGACATCCTCACCTGGTTCATTCTTACTGAAGTCTATCTTTAGAACTTTAGTCTGGAGCCCAGTGTGCTGGCACACGTCTTTAATCCAAGAGCTTGCAAGGCAAAGGCAGGGGAATCCTTGCGAGTTCGAGGCCGCCTAGATCTACAAAGGGAATTCCAGGCCAGCCAAGGCTACACAGGGAGTCCCTTTTGGGGGAGGGGAGAGCAAGACTTTTTCTTTTTCTTTCCCTAAGTGAAAGCAGGGAGAAGGTGCTGATGCTGCTTGCTGGGATTGCTCGTTTACTGGGGATCCTAGCTCTACAAACCACTGAGATCCACCCCTACCGCACTGCTTGAAGCTACTCAAAATGGTTTCTTAAGTGATGCCTTGGATGTTGGGGCCATGAGGATCTGGTTGGTGTTTCAGTGAATTATTTGTTAAAAGTTCTGTCCCTCAGCCTGACTAGCCACATTTCACTGTCCAGTGGCCCAGCCCCTTGCTGTTGGGCAGCAGTTTGGGACTCCCATCATCCTGGGAATTCAGTCCAATTGGGCTAGTGTCAGAGTGTCTCAAGACCAGAGGTCGCTGAATTGGAGAATCTGCTGTTACTGTTGTTGAGTTGGGTGTCTTCCTGATCAGAGGCACTAGACTACTTGCAATCACAGGCACAAGAGGAACATTTCCTTAAGATTTATTTGATTTAAATTATGTGTGTGAAGCATCAGATTTCCCTGATGATGGGGTTATAGGTGGTTGTAAGCTGCCCAACATGAGTGCTGTGAACTCAGGCTCTCTGGAAGAGCAGTAAGCATTCTTCTTTCTTCTTGGTTCTGGTTGGCTGGTTTTTTGTTTTGCTTTGTTTTTTGAGACAAAGATTCTCTGTGTAGACCAGGCTGGCCTTGAACTCACATCGATTCACCTGTCTCTGCCTTCTGAGTGCTGGAATTAAAGGTGTGCACCATAGTCTTAACCCCTAAGCCATCTTCCCAACCCCAGCAGATGCTTCTTAAGCCAACAGGGATCTTTACTATAGACGTGTCTCAAGTGATACATGAGATATGAGATACATCCTGTGAGATCTTTGGGTGTTAAAACTTTCTCTACTTCTAGATTCAGAAAGCAGCGGAACAGATACAAGCTTAGACGAAGAGGAAAAGCTGTCTTGCACCTTGACGGTAAGAGAAACTTCTAGTGACATTGGCAGCACCAAGTACTGCTGCAGCTCCCAGAGAGCATGTGGCCTGTGGCAGTGTCCCTCCTTTGTAGATGTCCCCCAAGGCTCTGCAGCTGCCGTCAGCTCTGGGCACCCTTTTAGATCCCGAGACCCAGGCTCCTTCTTCTCAGAGGCCACTACTCTGCTTACTTCCACTGTTGGCTAAGCATAGACTAGTTCAGGAAGGTGCCTTTATGTATTGTTTCCTTTAGTGTCCCCAGGGTGGGAGTGACCTGCCTGCCGGTACCCCTCTGATTCTCACTTCCTTGGTTGGTTGGTAGAGATGACAGCCCTCACAGGTGTCAGAAAGGGAGAGAGTGCAAGAGCCAGGACTCTCTTCTCAGCCAGCAGTCGGGGTGCTCCAACCTCCCCACTTCCTTTCTAGTAATGCCATTATAAACATCTTCAGGCTTGTTTTAGTTTCTCTGGATCCCTTTAAAGTCCCTGCAATCACACACCGGATCTGGAAGTTCAAAGAGGTCATACCACTTTGTAATAGTGAATGTGGAAGAGTGACTTTTTGAGTAACTTCCTTTAGATATTCAAGCACTCATGAGCTTTTAGATTGTTCCAGAATTCTTAAGGCTGGCATTCTGACTGAGTATTCTGCCTTCTCTCTGATCAGCCTACAGTGCCTGGAAGCCCTTTGAAAAATGACTTAAGATGGAAGTACTTGACCCAGGTGGATATACTGCTTCAAGATGAGGAATATTTTAAGGTAATCTGTGTCTGTTGGTAAGACTCAACCAGACATTATACACAAATATGGGTACAGGACTTGGGATTTCATGTGCTGTCCTCAGAGCCTGTGAAGGGATCTGAGTAATTATTTGCACACTTCTCACGTGCTATCAGACTTTTCCTCTTCATCATTGAATACCTTAGGGGCCTAGGCAGGGAAACTCAAGGAGTCATGCCAAGGGTGACAGGGATAGCTCTGCTCCAGTGGGGCCCAGACTCCCAAGAGCAGCTCCGGTTCTTAGCTGCACAGGTGAGGAAGTAACAATCCCCACCTTTCCCGGTGAGATCTCCACTCCTGTCCCAGCCTGCTGCCCCTGGCCTGAGGTGAATGAGAAGGAGGCAACAGGCAGACTGCAGACCTCTCTGCTAGCACAGGTACCCTCCACATCGCTGCAGTGACTCACCAAAGCTTGTTCCTTACACAGCTTAAGACCACCTGCCTTGGGGTGATGCCACTCATAGTGGCCTGGGCCCTCCTTTTCCCACTAGTAATCAAGACCTGCCCACCTGATAAAGACTGTTACTGAGTTGAGATCCTCTTAAAGATGATCATAGGCTGTGTCAGGTTGGTAGCTAACGATAATTAGGACAGCTAGTATTGGAGGTTCCCAGGTTCTGTCGGCATCTTTCATAAAACAAAGGACATCCTAATGTTAAATAACAAGCAATGCCTCCCCCCTGACAGCTGCAAGTTCCCATTGATATTTTTACTGTGCTGGTGGCCAGCTGAAGCCTGTTTGGGGATCCCTCAGTCACTGTCCTAGGAATGCATTCTCCTAATAAAGCAGGCAGCATCCTCATGGCTCTTGCGTGATCAGAGGAAAGGGCTGGAATTAGGCCCAAGTTTATCTGACCTCTGCCCACTATCTACAGGGCTTCTGGAAATTCTGATGAATCCAGGTTGTCTTAATTAGGGTTCCCATTGCTGTGAAGACACGCCATGAAAACATTTAATTAAAGTAGTAGCCAACAGTTTCAGTTTAGTCCATTATTATGGCAGGGAGCATGGTGGCGTGCAGGTAGACATGGTGCTGTAGAAGGAGCTGTTACATGCAGGCAACAGAAAGTAAAGTGTCTTACTGGACGTGGCTTAAGCATATCTGAACCCTCAAAGCCTGCCTCCACAGAAACACATGTCCTCCAACAAAGCCACACTTCCTAGTAGTGTCACTCCTTTTGGGAACCATTTTCTTTTTAAAGCACCACACAAGTGTAACGGTAAACAGAGCCACCAATGGCTAGGTAGGGAGTAACTGCCAGAAAGGTGGCTGTCCCCTTGTGGACAGAGTTCTCAGATGTTTGGGCCACCCCTTCCCTCTGTGGCTTGAAGATTGACCACCAGCCACTGTCATGTTAAAATTACAATGTGTGCTTGTTTTGAAATGGGAATAACTGACATCATCCAGGGACTGTACTTTTAGGGAGAACCCAGCTCCATAAATCCAAGGTCTTAATACCCAAAATGCTTATGATCATGGGCTCTGATTTCAGAACGCAGAGAAGAGAAACGGAAAAGACACACTCGTGACTTTGGTTTCTTCCTCTTGTGTCACGCCAGCCCCTGGTGAGTATGAGGGACTAATTTTTCATGAACTGTGTCCTTCACCTTTGGAGACTTGGGGCCCTTGGCACCACCTATGTTGAGTGTTCAATGTAGTATTCAATGTGCATGTGTGTCTCAGCAGCATAAGCTGTTAGTAATGTGTATGTCCTAGAACGATTAAGACTACTTCAGTGTAGTCTCATTGAAGCCTAGGCTATCCTATAAATTTTCGTAATGAGCTGGTTTTCCCTTTGTGGTCATACCAGGTACTATATAGATTTTTGCCCTCGGTTTGAACATTTTGAGTCCAGCAGCACCTGAATAGCCAGTGGTCATCCATGTTGTGTGTTTCAGGTAACATTCACCATGGTCCTTCAGTGACTCTCCCTGGCACACATGTATGAACACAAGCAGTATTTTTTCTTTGGCTCATGTTATGACTCCTCTAAATGCTTCACATGTACCTTCCAAGAACCAGGTTATTCTCCATGATGATAGCAAGTTTAGAATATGCCAGAAACTTCTCATTGGCATGATGTAATTTTACCAACTGAGCTCTATAATGTCCTTTTAGCAGGAAACCCTCACAGATAGCACCCACTGCGTTTAGCAGCTCCTTGAGTTGCCATCACTCTTGTTTCTCATAGGATCACATGGCCTGAGTGCTCCAGTTGGGTTTTTCCTGTTTCTGTAGGTTTGGTTTTACTTGTTAAAATCCATGAAATAGTCATGTAAACAGAAGTCAAAGCTGCACCATGCACAGGAACATGTCTTCCCAGCCATCCTGTAGAGGTCAGGAGTTTGGGGTTACTTACTGGCTTTTGTTCTGCGAGCATGCATGCATGCATATGTGTGTTTTGGTGCCACAGACCACAGAGGCCACAAGAGAGCAGCAGATTCCCCTGGAGTTGGAGTTACAGGCATTTGTCTATTGCCCATTGTGGGTGCTGGGAACCGAACTCTGGTGCTCTGGAAGAGCAGAAAGTCCTCTTAAACACGGAGTCATCTCTCAGTCCCCTCTTGGCTTTTTTTTTTTTTTAATTGAATGTGTTTATGTTTGTAGAATTTTCTTTTCTAATTAATTTTGTAAGGTTTTTATGTGTGTATTGTATTGGCTTTGGGGCTAACATCTATCTCTAAACAATGTGAGGAGAAGCAGACTCTTGCAAAACTGGAGTGAAAAGTCAAAATCTAATTTTGGTTGCCAAAATAAAATCTCCCAAGGAGAGTCTATCCTTAACATTTCCAGGGTTTTATTTTGTTGGTGCTGTTTTAAACCATCATGATTGTGATTCCCTCTTGAGCTCCCCGACCTTCTGTAAGTATGGATGAGTTGAGCCATGGGTTACCCTGACTTTGTATATTTTTCTCCCAGGATGCCAGGACAGTATTTCTACAAAGAGCTGTGGTAGCCCTGAAATGTCAGCTTTGTCTTCCAGAGACTGGAATCCCTCAAACCCTTGCCAGGCTGACATGACCGTTACGCCTAGAAATGACAGCTTCTCCTTTCTAGGGACCAGCAGCAGCAGCTTAAGCAGCCAGCCCCTTGAGGCTGATGACATTTGCAATGTGACAGTCAGTGATTTGTACGAAGGCATGATGCATTCGATGAGTAGGCTGCTGAGCTTAAAGCCATCATGCATAATCTCCACCAAGACCTACATCAACCAAAACTGGAACCCCAGGAGGAGGTTGTCACGAAAGAGTGGGATGCACATGAATAGGACATACAGCCACAGAAGCAAGCGCTTTCAGAGGAACTCCAAGAAGGAGCCCTGTTCAAAGCTAGGGAAAGAGGTATTAAGAGACTGCAAGAATTTGTTGCACACTGCTCCCCACAAGACAGACTTAAATTTGGAAAGGGGATCTCTTGAAGGAAGCAAACTCCAAGTCCATAAGTTCAATCCAGTTTGGAAGGAATTTCAGGTGATGCCCCGTAAGTATTTAGACTTAAACACAATGTACTGTCATGAGCGAGAAAATAGAATGAAGACATTACAGTGGCTAATTTCACCTGTTAAAGTAGTTCCCAGACAAAGGATGCTTCCAAGTCGAGCAGAGAAGTGGTATAGGGAAATTGAAATGAAATTTGACAAACTTCATCAGGAATGTAGCCTATCTTCTGGGAAACAGCTTCCCCTGGCTGGTCCCACAGAGTCCTGGGCTGTAGATGTCTATAGAGGTAGTTCTAGAAGCCCAGGCAGCCCCCAGGGTATAAAAACCCCCAGGCTGCATTCACCTTTCAACAGAGAAAAGATGAAGCGGTCAAGTGAGGCTTTTGAAGACCTGAATGAAATGTCTGTCAAAGTGGATTCCTGTCTCCCAAGGAGCCATTCCACTGTATTACTATCAGGGGATAGCACCTCATCTGGCCTTTTTCTTCAAGGACTTAATTCTGGGTCAATCAGAGAGACACTATCACCCAGTACAGGTATTTCAGCACCATGGACAAGCCCTCGGGGCCATGGGAGGAATCGCTATGATGAGATTAAGGAAGAATTTGATAAGCTTTATCAGAAGTATTGCTTGTCACCTCGGCAGGTGAAGGTAACCTCATGTGTTACAGCATCTCCAAAGAAAGTTGGTGCATCTGTTCCTAGTCACATAGAGGACTTAAGAAAATTAAATCCAGACTCTGGATTCCTGAGTTCCCCAAAATTGTCAACGTCTGGCTGGAACATAAGAAGCCCACAGGACTCAATTCCAACTGAGGCACAAATGTCTGCATGGACTGTTAGTGCTGTTATGAGAGACCCTTGCTTCCCAACAAAGAGGCGCAAGTTGTCATATCCCCCGATGTGTGCACACCAGACCAAGACTCAGGATTCCTCAGGAGCAGCAGGCAAAGCAATGCCCTGGCCAGAAAAGCAGGCCAACCCTGTGTGGCCTGACTGCTGATAAGGTGTTCCTGTCTGTTGGGCATGATGTCTATGTGTAACGAGTAGCTGTTGAGATACAAGATGCTATGGCAGACACTTCCGTTTCTCTTGCTGGAGATGGGACTCGGTATCACACTTGCTAAGCAGTCTGCCACTGTGTCTCCCTCCCCACAGCCATTTCCCCTGCTCTACATCACCATCATCTCTGTCTTTTCATGTGGGATGTTAGTGGTGCCCTGGGCTTCCCCAGACACCCAGCCAAGCTCAGCCATTAGTGTGTCTCCTGATCATATTCAGGAGGATCCTCAATGGCATCCTTTCTCTTGATTTTAATTATCTGCCTTGTCTCTGCTCCCCTCTCACCCATGCTGCAAGAGGACATGTGTAGACATGGGTAAGTCCTTGGACTTGGGACACAACACAGAATACTTGGCTTGACCTGTGGAACTCTGGATGTATTTTTTTCCCTTTTGGGTGGTTTTTGTTTCATTTGACTTTTGAGACAGGGTCTTGCATAGCATGGTGGCCTCACTATATAGTCCAGGTGGCCTTGAGTTCCTGATTCTCCTGTCTCTGCTCCCTAAATGCTGAGATTTTTTATTTTGTGAACTAAATCCTCCTGGTTGAACTTTCAGGAAGGGACCTGCCTAGGATCAGACCACAGATGATACCACAAGGAGTAGGACCAGATACGCAAAGGAACCCCAATCCTAGGTGCCATGCTAACTGGGTCTCTGGCTGCCTGGTGTCCCTGGCAGGGTACACTCACCAACAGTCTCCTTTGCTCTTGGTCTTGAGTTCTTTAACATGATGCAATTTCCCACCAGGGATTTAAACCTTTATATTAGTGCAGTCAAGAAGAAATTAGGCATTTGGCGGCTGACTTTGAAGCACTATTAGGATTATACTAAGAATTGTTTTTCATCATTCATGATGGAAAAGTGATTTTTGTTAGGTAAATCCAAAGTTAAAAATGTTGCCTCTAGTTCTTAGATAGTGTGTCTGTCACTGTGTCACCCAGGCTGGCCATAGATGCACCTCAAGCATGCAACACCACAACTGTTTGTTCAGCCTTTGCTTTGTCTGTGTGTCGCACTGCTTGAAGTTTCTGCCTTTAATGGAGCTCTGGGGCAGCTGGTGCCATGGGAAGTACCTGGTATTATTTTGGAAATAAAATTATGCAGTTAAGCATTTTCAGTGTCAATCAGTCCTGTGGGCCCGTTTATCAGTTTTTTCTCATTTAGACATGCTTTCTAGAACATTCTTCACATTTTCTGTTTTGTTGAAACAGTGATCCTTGAAGTACATAGGACAGTCAATCTTTAAAAGAGACAGCTAGCTGAAACCACCTTAGATTCACTTACGAGAAGTAATTCCAAGGTCTTGTCTTGATGCTTCTAGAAGTGATTTGAAACATTTCTGAGGTGTTTCCCGTTGCCCTTGCAGCCATGCAGCATCCACCAAGCCTGCTGAGGTGGTTTCTGGTTGCTGATAGCTGGTTTTATTTGATCTTTCACGACAAGGTTCTCTATGTAGCTTTGTAGACCAGTCTGGCCTTCGAACTCAGATCCTCCTGCTTCTGCCGCCCCAGTGTTGAGATTAAAGGCGTGCACCACCCCGCTAGTAACTGGTTTTTGTTTGTTTGTTTGTTTGTTTTGTTTTTTCGAGACAGGGTTTCTCTGTATTGCTTTGGAGGCTGTCCTGGAACTCACTCTGTAGACCAGGCTGGCCTCGAACTCACAGAGATCCGCCTGCCTCTGCCTCCCACAGTTCAGCACTATTTGATCATTTGTTGGGCACAATTTCCCCTATGCATCCCCTACTTACATGCGAAAACAGTTACATGGTCACTGTTTCCTATAACCAGGTCTTTGTGTCTTCCTCTAATGTAAATGTAGAGATCTGCCTTCCCCCAGTTATCTTTGTTGGCAGGCATTTGGTCAGCATTGAGTGTCCAGGCAAAAGTATTTCAAGGACATGGAATTACTACATGCCTAAAACTGTTTATTCATAGCCACTTAGATAGAAAATAAACTTGCCCTGGTTTTACCTCGATTGCAGAGAAGAGAAGCAATAACGTAAACCTCAGACTAAATGATTTTTAATTCCTTTCACTAACCTTCACCTCAGTTTATTAACCCAAGATTTTAACTTAGAGATTTATTGCTTAGAATAACTAGAAAGGTAACCAGCCATTTGCTCGTCCTCAGAGAAGTAAACTTTCCTACAGACTGCTGAAGACCTGCACCTTGTGGCCAGAACAGCTATAAAGAGCTAGGTTCTATTTCTTGTACAAATTAAGCTTAAATCCTCTTTGTTCTACATTAAGCAATAGGTACTATCCTTAGACCTAAAAAGCTTTTTTTTTCTCTCTTCCTTTTTTAAAAAATTTAAGTTAGAAACAAGCTTGTTTCACATGTCAATCCCAGCTTCCCTTCCCTCCTCCCCCGCCCTCCCAACCAGGCCTCCCAAGTCCCCCACCCAATCTCCACTCCGATCCTCAGGTAGAGTGAGGCACTCCATGGTGGATCTCCAGAGTCTGTCATTTCATCCAGGGCAGGGCCTAGGTCCTCCCAAAGAGTCCAGGCTGAGAGAGCATCCCTCATTGTGGGATGGGCACTCAAAGTCTATTTGTACGCCAGGGATAAATACTACCCAAGACTCCATAGATTACCTAAGCCTCCTCACTGACACCCACATTCAGGGGGTCTGGGTCAGTCCCATCACACAGCCGTCAATCTGGGGTCCAACAGCTCCCCCTTGTTCAGGTCAACTGTTTCTGTGGGTTAAACCAGCCCAGTCTTAACTCCTTTGCTCATCAGCTCTCCCTTTCTGTGACTGGAACCCATGAGTTCAGTTCAGTGTTTAGCTGTGGGTGTCTGCCTCTGCTTCCATCAGTCGCTGGATGAAGGTTCTGTTTCCCAGCTGACTATAGGGAAAGTGTGGCTGCAGACCAAAAGCTGAACCTATTTATGCCTCTGCATATACAGATTGCCTAGCTACTGAGGACTCTTACCTGACCTTTTGTAAAAATGGTGGCACTTGGAAGCAGCCCATGGAGAAAAAACAGTTTACCTTACTAATGAAATCTGTTGATGAGTAGAATTTTAGCTTAATACTTAGGCATACTTAAGGAATGTAGATAAGCACACAATTTCTCCTGTTTAGACTCCCTTGTTGGTTTCATCCCTAGGTGACCTCATCATGGAGCCTTACTAACCACTCTTACCTGGTGCCATAAATCATAGCTAACAGTTACTACTCTGTGTGTGAATCTTTTTTTGTTGTTTTTGTTTGTTTTGTTTTACGAGACAGGGTTTCTCTGTATTGTTTTGGAGGCTATCGGTCCAGCCTGACCTCGAACTCACAGAGATCCACCTGCCTCTGCCTCCCAAGTGCTGGGATTAAAGGCGTGCGCCACCACCGCTCGGCTGTGAGTGAATCTTATCGACTTTGGTGACCCTGAGAAACTCAAGCCTCACATTGCATTGCCAAAAGAATTACTGTTGTAAATGTATTTGTACTAGTACCCTTGCTGTAGAAAAAGAACTATTGTAGAACAATAAAGAGAGAGATGGATAGAAAGACTGTGTTATGAGCAGATTCTTCCTAGCCCTCAGATCCTAATTCCTTCACTTATTGTAGCGTCTCTTTTGGACCCCGAGAGGGGGTTTTAAGGCTGGCTGCTAAAAGCCTTCAATAACTTTACATTTTTTTGCAAGCGGTGCCTGCTCCTTCCCCAGTTAGTCTCACATCTGCTGCCCAGCCCTCACCAAATCTCTCGTCTGCTCCTTGACCCTGACTTTCCAAAACTGAATTGAACCTTTTTATATAGAGCCCAGCCCCCAGTATTTTGTGTTAATGATATAGCCAAAAATCTGCATTCCAGAGAGCAATGGAGGTATATTTCAGTGGGAGAAGAGGTATGGGTACTCATTCTTTTACAAGGTTTTCTGTTTTTTCTACAAATGAAAAAGGATTTGCCTTGCTATGGGCAGATGTGACACCGGCGGTTTGCATCTTACAGCGGGGCCTCTTAGGGCAGTCCTCTAGGTGAAGCCAAGAGCCAGTGCTGATTGCAGTTGTCCAGGACTTTGAGGGTCTCCAAGGCCGCCCTCCTGACCCCTGCATCAGAATCTAGCTGTAGGTCCTGGAGAGCTGAGTGGGAATAGAAAAGAGCAGGCCTTCTGGTCAGGACCATGTGACCTCTGCACACTGCAGACTGAGGCAGGCTGACATCAGCAGGGACACTCCCTGGGAACCTCCTGGTGTGGAGTCAAAAGTGGGTCATAGGGCTAAGTGTTCCCATACTCCACAGACCTGAAGTATCTGAGAATGGGGATGGCATGGACTCCACCTATCAAATGGTCCTCCTGGAAGTCTCTCCCTACATGGAGTCTCTTAAGGTCCAAGTACTCCCTCTTCCCCCAAGCAGCTCACAGTCAAGGGTTGCCAGCCCTCCTTCAGCATGGTCTCAAAAGTGTCAGTGAGCATAGATTTCTCCAACTGAGGCTACACTACTTAACAGTTCCGAAGCCCCACAAGGTCCATCTTCTTCAGATAATGGGCAGACAGCTGCTTCATGATAATTCCTGAAATGACAGGCACCAGGGAGAGATCAGTAGGCACACAGTTCTGCCTCCCTCCTTGCAAGAGGCACAGGTTGACCTATGAAGGCATCAGTCAAGGGTTTTGTCAGGCAGGAAGTAGTGAACACCCTTATTGAAGACCAAGCAAACACGGAAGCCTATGAGCTCGTAGGCCAGTGCCGTAAGGTATACCTAGGCTGTCATCCATGCCCAGGCACTCGTTTCCCCATCCAGGCCTGGGGATGACTAAGTGGCTTCAAGGCTCACCGAGAGTCTGAGCATATCTGTCTACTCACCTGCCAAGGCACAGGCAGAGATTCTGATCCTCGACAAGTTACTCTTCATGAAGATGGTTGTTTCCAACAGGAAGTCACAGAGGACAACAGGCTTTTTCTGGGCCTGCATAAACAAGTGTGAGATGGGGACGGGCTGCTCACTGCAGGGAGCCATGAGTTGTGGCCGCCATTCCAAGATGGCACTGGGCCCCTGCAGGGCTGGAGTAAACAACTCCATATAGGGTCATAACCAGAATCACCAGCTCGAGCATGCTCAGTGTCTTCAGCTTGCTGGGCCAATCAGGGAGCCTGAGGTGGCTGCCAGGGGTGCTTGACCAATAGGACAGTTGCACGCTGCCTCAGCTTCTATATAAGCAGCTGCAGTCTTTGTTCTGGGTCCCTCGCTTCCTGCTCTCCCTTCAGCCAAGAGGCTCCAATAAAGCGTGATTTGGGAAGAATCCTTGTCTGGTGGTAGTCTTTCCTGCTGGTCAGGGAGTGCTCCACAGCTCACTAAGAGCATTCCCATCTGATGAATCAGTGCTTGTGCCAGGAAGGCTTGGCTAGAGGGGACAAGGGCCCTTCCCAGCACCTCACAGCAGGGTAGCTGGGCCCAGTGATGGCTCTCGGTTTCATTATCTGACTCTGAGCACCCATTGAATGTGTTTCTGAAACTGTGCTGTCCAAAACACAAGCCACATACGGCATGGGAACACGGCTGACAGCAATGTCAAGGACCTTCCAGGACTTGGAAGGTTGTACGGAAAAAAAATTTTTTTCCTTGATCACATAACAAAATGATCATAATCTGGTTACTTGGAGCTAAATAAATTCTATTGTCAAAATTAACTTTTTTCTCTTCACTCTCTGATTGTGGCAGTTAGAAAAGTTAATATGGGTAGCCTTTCATTGTCCCATTGGGTATTTCACAGTAAAAGGTCAACATGGGGTCATAAGCCCAACCTTGTCCCCCCCTTGGCCTCCTCACCAGGATGGAGCACATGTTTGTCTGAAAAACTGTCATCTGGTCATTGATGCTGTCATTGCTGTGACCAAAGGAGCTCTCCAGGGACTTCCAGCCCCAGAAATGCACACACTGAAACATGGTAGCCAAACATGCCTGAAGGAACACAGGGCACAAAACAGGAAAGACATCAACAAGCAAGGCTCTGGGTGGCATCTCACCTGAGGAGTGAGAGGGCAGCCCCAGAGAGGCCTCCAGAGCAAAGAAGAGGCGGGCTGGAGGCTCCAGAGAGCCCACTCGTGCATCTGTAATAAGCCCCTCACATGCCCCTTCTGCCAACCCTTTGCCCTGATAGCAGCCCTGCAG